TCTCTCTCTCTCTGTGTGTGTGTGTGTGTGTGTGTGTGTGTGTGTGTGTGTGTGTGTGTGACATCAGAGGCTGTAGAGGCGTTATCTCTGATGGGAAACATCATCATAACAGACCGCCCGCGACCTCTGACCTCCTTCTATTGTTTGCATTGCCACAGGAGCAGATTTATGTAATGAGAGTGGCAGCAGAGGGAAGTGTATTGTCATTGCATATGGAGGTTGTAAAGTAAACTGCAGAGAAAAACAGAGAACATGTCAGACTTTTGCACTTAGAAAATGTTTATTTTAAAACTGTTCTCAAATTTCTTAATTTCTGTTTAGTTTTAGTTTCATTTTTTATTTCATGGGTTTATTTTTATTTCATTTTTATTTATTGAAGTTTCTTTTAGTCTTAGAATTTTAGCTAAAGGTGTCTTTCTTAAAAGGTTAGTTCACCCAAAAATGAAAATTAGGCTGTGTTTTACTCACCCCCGAGGCATCCTAGGTGTATATGACTTTCTTCTTTCAGACGAATCCAGTCGGAGATATATTAAAAATTGTCCTGCCTATTCCAAGCTCTATAATTGCAGTCAGCGGGTGTTGCAGTGCTTCAGTCCAAAAGAAGTGAAATAAAAAGCGCCCATCCATAAAAAAAAGTGTCTCACACGGCTCCGGGGGGGTGAACAAAGGCCTTCTAACACAGCCTAATTTTCATTTTTGAGTGAACTAACCCTTTAATACTTGTTTTAATTTTGGGAACTCTACAATACTTAGTGTCTTTTTTCATTTTGGTTCATTTTTTAACTACAGGATTTTTTAAAAGTAGTTTTTAATTTTTGATTATATTTGTGTTATTTTATGTCCGCTTTTAAAATGTGTCTGTTCACAGCATATATAAATTTTAAAGGGGTTAATGAACTGGCTTTTTTTATTATTTTATACTGCTGTCTGAGGTCCACTTATGACGTTCGTGTGGTTTTTACATTCAAAAACATCAAAATCAATAAGTAATAGGCTATTTTCTACCCTAGTTTTGAGGCCGGCTCGAGAAACGCTTTGGGTTTTTTTCAGCCATGTTGCACTGAAGACTTGGAAGTAAACGCCCACTGCTATGATTGGATAATAGTTTTGCATAGTAAACTAACTTTCTGTGTGTCTGTTTGACAAGCTGCGTCCTTCATAATTGGAGCCTTCTGTGACTTTGGTTAGACACGTTACACATAATCAGGACATTCTCTAACAAAGCAATAGTGACCTATAGTACAAATATTTTTTACTCTCATAACGTTTAGTGTTCTGCGCCATTCCTGTCGGCGCATTCCTAATATTTGAATCCGAAGGAAGGTTATGCAGCGACTGTGTTCTTCCACAACCAGGCACTGCACAATATTCTGCGATCTTCAATGGCATGCGAATCAGTGGGCGGAGCTACAGAATTAGGCTTGATATTCTTCTGTGGAGGCGGTGTTTAACCTATCTATTATAGGCACATTCCAGGATCTGGCGTTCGCTGGGCCTGGTGTCAATAAAAGCTTTTATTTCAGTAACAAGGACGTTTTCAGTTCTGAAACTTGCAGGATATTCTTTTAGTACGAGGACCTCTTATATATCAAAAGCTCAAGTAAAAGTTGATTTCTCAATACATGACCCCTTTAAAGTAAACTGCAGGGAAACATTGAGAAGTCAGTCTTCAGACCAAGGTTGTTATACTTTTCAAATACAGATTTGTTTTATTTGTTTGTTTTAGATTTTGAATATTTTTAGAAATTATAGTTAAACTTGTCATTCTTTCAGTGTTAAAATACTTTTACTGAAACAAATATGTTTCAATATTCGACATCTATACTTGTAGTTTTTCATTTTAGTTTCAACCATTTTTTTTTGTTAATTTTGCATTATTTCATTTCAGCTTTCAAATTTTTTTTAAAATGTGTGTTCACTGGATATGGATGTTTTCAAGTGAGTTCTATTTGTTTGTTTCAGCAACAGTTTATTGAATTAGAGTTTAGTTTTTATTTTATGGCTATTGCTTGGGATTTTTTAGACATTTTAAATTTCATTTTTAGTTTCTTTTTTAGTCTCTCAAAGTTAAAATGCTTGCAGTTTTAGTATGGACAACTATACTTATGGTTTTTCATTTTAATATTGTTTTCAACCATAGGTTTTATTGTATAGTTTTTAGTTCAGCATATGGAGGTTCTTAAAGTAACCTGCAGGGGAAAACATTTTTAATTTTCATATTTTAGTAAATATTAGTTTTATTCATGTTTTGTCATTGTTTTTGTTATAAAAAATTACATAAATAAAGGTATCAACTACCTCAATAGTTATTTCATTTTAGTTTTTCAACCACTGTTTATCGGTTAGTTTTCATTTTTTATTTTTGTAAATTATTTTGCATATTAACAAAAATGTTTTTATACCAATGATAGTTGTAATATACAATAACAAACACTGTTCTGAACACACTGTCTATATTCTGTCCATCTCTCTCTCTCAAGTAACAGTGGACTTGAATTGA